GCAGGGATGCCCTTTGATGCCTCCCTCCCTGCCTGCAGACCATGCCCATGACCTATCTATCTGCCAGCCTTATACCTTACATCTCATATCCTTGTGGTGTATTTCCCCCATCCGCAGCCTGGAGCTCACCTGAGCTTTGCCCATTACCCATCCTTTCTGAAGACTTCAGAGGGATTGCTCATCACACCGCAATCCTGATATTGCAAAAGGCGCTGCTGATTTGCAGTTACACATCATTCTGTCTACCATTATCCCCCAGACAGCAAGCAGGTAAAAGCTGGAGGTGTCCCTTCTTGCTCACCTCCTTGGAAATCACCTGCTGGCCCATGGAGCAATAGGTGCTCTTCTTCACGCTCCAAAGGTTGTGCCTGACAGCTCTGACATCACCGCAGTGATGCACTGCCCTCCGGCAACAGCACCGGAGCAGAACATCATTCCTGTTGTCTCCCAGTCCCAGCTGCCGCCTGGTACACCCTGTCTCCCTCAGCTTCAGGGTTACTGAAGCAGAGTAATAGCTGAGAGTTGAGTAACTGAGAAGCTACCTGACCAGGTTTAGACCTGACTGTAAACATCTTCTCAGATAACAATGGGAAGGAGGATCTGTGCCTGCTGAGGTGCAGAGCTGCTGAAGGAGAAAGATGGTGCACAGATGTCCCTGGGTACGCACATGGATGTACACACAGCGTACCTGCAGCACAGCTCTGCCCCCCAGATTTGATCAAGTTTGCACCCATATTTATGACCTAAACTTCTGAGCCAGTATTTACAGGATGGGTGGATGCACTGATCCCGTGTGACACTACACACGCTGGTATTGTGCATGCATGCCCCAACAAACATGCTCACAGAGCCTTGTGCTTTTACAAGGAGGCAGACACTCCTGCTCTCCTCTGGGAGGTAAGATGGACAATTCTTCAGGCTACTTCAGGGTGGCCCTTTGCATTTGCAAAAGGGACATTAACAAATGGAGGAATTCCAGTGGAGAAGCATAGAATCATAGGATAGTTAGAGTTGGAAAGGACCTTGAGATCATCAAGCTCCAATCCTCTGCCATGGGCAGGGATGCCTCACACTAGACCATGTCACCCAAGGCCCTGTCCAACCAGGCCTTGAACACTGTCGGGGATGGAGCACTTATGATATCCCTGTGCAGCCTGTTCCAGTGCCTCACCACCCTCCCAGTAAAGAACTGGGGCCTGCATCATTTGACACATGAGCAGGGGCTTAGGGAGCTGGGGTGGTTTGCAAAGAGAGAAGGCTTGTGAGGGGAGCTATCAACCCACTGTCTTCAACTGCCCAAAAAGGGGCTGTGCAGACGGTAGAGCCAAACTGCCAGAGGTGCTCAGTGAAAGGACAAGAGGCAACACAGAGATTGTCAAAACCCAGCTGCATACGGCCCTGCAAACCCTCATCTACCTTAAGGCTGCTCCTGCTCCAAGCACATGTTTGGACTGGAGACCTCCAAAGTTGCCTCCTACCCTAAATGATGCTGTGATTTTGGTCGGCAGTAGACATTCCTTAACTCAGATACTGACTGCAACCACTTGCATGCAGGATGCTTTAACAACCCCTGTGACTAGCCATGCAGCTGGAGTCGATCCATTCATGGTATCACTGGAAAGGAGGCTTTCTGGCCCCTCCTGGGCTGCATTCTGTCATGGTTTCTGACCAACTCATATCTGGCTGCCTATGACCATACATGTCCAGTGCTTCTCTAGTATCCTGGTGGCCAAATGGACCAAAGCTGGAGAATCATCTGGAAACACCTCTCTTTCTTTTGCTTCAAGTTTGTTTCAAAACAGAATGAGAATCTGCATCAGCTGAGACTGGCAGTGGGAGCGTGAAGATCAGAGGAGAGAACAGCCTCCTTTCGAGGGCTGCTCAGATTTGAGTTGGCTTCATGCAGTCATCAAGCCCCAACCCTGACCTTTGTGAGGCTGAGGAGGAACGCTCTGTTAAACCCTTGCAGGTTAACCTAATTCACATCACTCACCACCTGGAACAAGGTGCACAGCTTCTCTGTCTTTAGCCACAGACAGCCTGCAAGCAGATAAAGGGTGACTGCTGTGGTAAGCTCAGCAGAGGGAGTTTATCTGAAATCACTTGTGAACGACTCCCACAGCTCCTGCCCTCACCCCGGCTCTTAAAATGCATGGTTTGAAGATAATAACAACTCAGTATGTGGTAGGGAAGGTTGTTACATCTGGCAGCTCATGTGTATCTGCAAACCTGGGTGTCAGAACTAGTAAGCCCATGCAGCAGCATCTAGCCTGTTCCACCCTGCATTTCTGTGAGTGGAACAACTATAAGAGCTGTTATTATGGAGGAAGCTCTCAGTGTCTGTTTCCTCTCTTGTAAAACAGAGATAAATGCCTCCTGGTGTGCTAAATAGGACTGGTTTTGGTGACGATAGCTGAGGGATGCTGGTCAGCCTTCTGTGGCTTGTGAGGGCATGGCTAACCCCGGCCTGCTGCTCCTTCCCAAAACATGCCAGTGTTTGCAGAAGGAGGTGGGTGCTGTAACATCTTCCATTTCTCTTGTCCCCTCCCATTGGGAGAAGTAGAGCTCAAAACCAGAGTTACAGCTCATTGTAGCTCCCCACCACCACCCCAGCCACCGTACGTGTGTGGCTTAACTTCTCATGTCCTTGTTTTAATGAACTGGTGTCAGGAATTTTATGTGCATAGCAACCTTATCTGATGACAGTGACATTTTTAGCATGTTTACGTTCAGCTTTATTTGCAGCCCGTTGCCAGTGTAGTTCAGCTGGGTGGATTGGATGGAGTTAAAACACGCAAGAGCCCCGTTCACTCACTGCAGCTCAGCCAGAGATACTGGGGGCCTCCAAGGCACATGCAAAGGCAAAAGGATCTGCGGTGGAGTTTGTGCAGCACATTTGCCATCTGCAGCCTTTCACACAGTCACCAGTGTCTGACAAGCAACACTGGGGGGGCGAGGGGAGGGTTGTTTGTTTTTCCTTTCTTTTTTTTTGGCTTCCGGTTCTCAGTACTGTCACAACCAGATGGGAATAGGTTTCCCACGTCGGAAGCGGGGGACTCTCCAACCCAGTGCTCCCAGATACCCACAACATCACAAATGCAGGCGTTTCTGCTTCACCGCAGCTCCAGCTAGTAGGAGGTATGGGGGCGAGGAGGAGGGGAGATGGGTCTCTTTGCAGTTTAAACAGCTGGATCCAGCCAGGGTTCCCAGGGTTTTTCCAGGGAAGATAGCCTGGGAGCAAGCACCAGGAGTGCCCCTGGAGGCTCCACCTCTGCACATCAGCCTCCAGTGGAGCGCTCTTGCCCAAATAAGGCAGTGGTTGTCGCAGCAAAAAAGAGCCATAAATAGTGGTATGATCACTACCTGCCTCTCTCCGTGCGAGGCTGGGCACCCTCCCAAGCCCGGCTCTTCCTGCCTGGCCTTCCAGGGCTCCCCTCCCCACTCCAGCTCCACAGAGACAGCACTTCCCATGTCTCTGCTCACGGATGCGCAAGCCCCAGACACGAGGTCCAGTTTCTCCAGGTGCTCTGCCCTACACCATTCCTCACCTTGAGCTGTTCAAAGTGCAGCAGCCTCCTGCCTGACGTGATTCACTTCCTTTACAAAGTGTTGTGGGATGGGGGGGCTGCAGCTCACATGTCTGTGTGCCTTTTATCAGCAGCTCATGGGCCAAAAGTTTCCTTAGTTTGAAGGGTGTCACTTTCATGCTTCAGTTGAGAGTCTTATGCACAGAGGAAGATGTAGCAGGAGAAGGAAAAGCAGTACAGCAGGGCAAAAATTAGGTTGGCTATTAGAACCAATTTCTTCACTGAGAGGGTGCTCAGGCATTGGAACAGGCTGCCCAGGGCAGTAGTAGAATCACCGTCCCTGTGTGTAGCTGAGGCCCTCAGTGACATGGTTTAGTGATGGCCTTGGCAGTTCCCAGGTAAATGGCTGGACTTGATCTTAAAGGTTTTTTCCAACCTAGCTGATTCTACAGTTCTATGTAAACAAGACGCTAGCAGACACTGTAAGCAGCCCTATGCAAGACGTTTCTGCTTGCTTCTTTTCCAGAGTGTGAGATCCCACTGGAGAAGACGCACCCAGGCATGAAGGAGAAGGTGCTGTGCTGACCAGCATTGTAGGCAGGGTCACACCACGTTGCTGAGCTTGGCCCTAATCCCATAGCATGGCTATGGAACTTCTCTTGTGGAGTCCCCTCCACCCTACACAGTCCCTGGGGACCTGAGGCACTTAGCTGTGCTGTCCCTGCTGCTGGTGTTGAGGGAGGAGGCTGTCCTCAGGGCCTTATGCTTAGCATGTGAACCTTCAAATGGCCTCCTTGCCCCATCTTTTTGCTCTGGGAAAATGATCTTCCAAGGGCATATTGCCATTCTGAGATGCAGTGCATTCCTATGGCAATACCTAAATACAGAGGAGATCTTGCTGTCTCTTGGAAGGAGATGCTTATCACGATGAGGAAGACACTGTGGGCTGAGCAGCAGCAAAGTCTTAGGGCAGCAGTCAGGAGACCTGGTGTATCCGTCAGACAATCATTTGCCTGTTTCCTGATGTGGCTGAGTTTTACTCCTTCCCCCGCTTCTCAATTTTTCTCAAAGTAATGAAGCAATTCATTGTCAGTGCATATTTTAAATACTGACTCTCTTGGTTCCTGTCTTAGACCCAGCACATACTTCCCAAAAGTTTCCTGTGGGCCCCAACTACGGCACTTTAAACATTTTCCATCGTACGTGAAGTAGCTCTGTGCTGCCATGGGGTCCTTGGTTCCTGCTAGCTGGGGTAGTATCCTGTACCTGGCTCCTGCCTGGGACATGTTGCAGGTATCAGGGCCTATCTCAGCCTTTCTTCACTTCTGATTGTTTTTTCACACTGAGTTTGTCAGGTCCATTTAAAGAGCTTGAAAGCTCTTTTGGGAAAGCAACAGGAGCTGATCTGGGCTTAAGAATCGATCTGTGCTACTGCAGCGCAGTGAGAAAGAACAGCTGTGGTCTGATGTGCAACAATAAAGTGGTGAATGCCTGTCTTCACTAGGTATCTTCACTAGACTATCCTCAGCCTCTTCCAGAGAGGAGAGGCAAGGTTGTTCCCAGTGAGAACTGCTATGCTTGGGAAGCTGCCACTGAGAATTACGAGTTTTCTCCTTCATGGTGTTTTCCAGGTCTGCTGGCAGGCTGGGACACACAGACCCTTTTGGGACTGTAGCTTGAGCAACTCGCCCCAGTCCCACATAAACACTGCTCTCCTGCTTTCTAGGCAGCTCCTTGGATGCAAAAGCAACCTTCAGGAAATGCAGATGTAGCCCTTCATCTATCCTTGAATATCTGGGTGTCTTCTACATTGTAAAGGTCCTGGGCAAACAGGACTATCACAGGTGACAAGTATGATGGTGACTGGAGACTGAATCATAACATGGTTCGCCTGATATGTGGGTTAGTATTGCCTTGCTTGACCTTTCTCCAGAAATTCAACAGAGAACAAGATCAGAGAGCAGCAGTGTGAAAGGTTTCATGCCAATGCAGGGCGTAAAACATCTAGCATTAAGGTGGCAGCTGTCCTTGCAATACAGTTTTCCATCATTGGGATTGCCTCTTTTTAGGGCAGAAGGACTGTCCCAAGCCCTGAGTTTCTCCCTTCCCTTGCCAGGAGGCAGAGGGAGGAGGAGGGGTGCTTGTGCCAGGGTGGCTGGCTCCTCTGTGGGACGGGATGGGACAGCTCGCTGCCAAGAGGTGAGGTCATTGCCATCAGGAGGAAGCATCGCGTTGGCAGGGAGGAGGGCAGAGGCCTCTCCCTTCCCAGCTGTGTGTGCCTCTGGGTCTGAGCACACACTGAGAGGCCAGCCAGGCCACTGGCAGGCAAAAAGATATCCTGAAGGCCAAGCAGGGCCCTCTTTCTAAAGCAAATTTTGCTTTGCCAGTGGAATGAATGGAGAAGATCTGGAGGAATTAGAGCTCACAGCCCCTCTTGCTTTCCTCTGGCTCTTCCTCCTGCAGGGGCGAGTGTAGCACTCAGTTCAGGGCACACAAACCCCCATTATACACAGCTGGAGCCAATTCCAGGGGAGCATAATCTAGATTTTTAAAGGAGACTTCACAGTGATCTGAAAACACCTTGGGCTCCTGTATACTGAAGAAGCACAGGCATCTTAAAGTGCTTTTAATTATACCTTCCCTCCACCCCCCTCCACTTTACATATTTTCTTGCCCTTTATTTTTTTGCTAATTAGAAAACTAATTTTAGAAATGACTCTTGTCCACTCTGGAAAACTAATAGAAAATGAGTAAAAATGCAGTTGCATGAAAATGAAAGTAAGCCTGGGGAAAGGCAATTGTTCATAACTGAGGGGTTTTGTGAACTCCTGTGCCTAATTAGCACACTGCAAAGAGGAACCTTTGTTGAAACTTCCACACCCTGCTTTCTCAATTAAGGTACAAGGGAGATCATAATAAAAAGAGCTTGAAGACAGCTGGTGTGTCCCCTAGCAAAGCCAAACTTCATTGAGCATTCCTTAAAAAAAGAACAACACACATACATATACTTTCTTTTCCTGTATATGATTCTTTTTTTCTCCATGTAATGCAAAGCTCTTTTTCATGGATTCCTAATGGGAACAAAAAACTTACATTATGATCCTCATTGCTGATGTGTTTTTAGCCCACAGGAAAAAAGGGCTGGGATGATTATTTTCAGGGTTATGATGGCTGTCAGAAAAAACTTTGCAGGAAAGCTGAATCACTGGGTGAGCATCTTGTTTTCATCCTTTTGTGTTTTGCTATCCCACATCTAAAGGGCGGCTTATGAAAATTCAAAAGGCTTTTATACATGTACATTCCTCTATAAAGAGTCAAGGAATTACAGGCCTCTGTGCTGTCTCGCAATTAGCCACAAACTTATGTACAGGTGTGTGTTTCAAGTTCAGTGTTAGATGCAGCTGTAATCAGGAGAATGATAGAGTGGCAAGAGGTTTAAGGATGCTTTTAGTCCATGTGAGAACAGAAAAGACAAGGAGGGAGTGGATGCAATTTACCATGGGTTGAATGCTTTGTCCCACTAAGTGGATGACAGCAAAGCTATCTTATTATTTTGTGCTTTAGATTGGTATCACGCTTGGGTCTGTACTTCAAAGTACAAATACTCTCTTCTACAAAAAGCCTTTTAACCTCTTGTTATTTATTTTTTTCTGGCAGCAGTGCTTGCAGGACTCCCTACATCCTCATCTAACACAAGCTGCTGCCTCATGCAGAGGAATTTCAGAAGCAGCTCCTGAGCACCTTTGTCCTGTGGGTTTGATTCCTCTAACACTTTGCTGTCTCTCGGTAGCTGAGAAATATGCAGAGCAGGTGCTAGCCTGTAGCTGGGTGGCTCAGCAGCCTGCTGCTCCTCAGTGAGATACTGATTTTTTACAGGAATTTTGTGTTATGCAAATACGCGGGATACCCAATGAGTTGCTGCCTTTGTTCCAGAATAATCCCAGGAAATGATGCTCTGATAAATGCAAAAGATGATGACTGTGTTACCACTCAGCTAAAAGGTGGTTTCCCACAGTGATACAGTTATGCATCTCTGTTGGTATTTTCTCACATCCCACAAAGCAAATGCCTCAGTAAGTCCTGGCTAATTCTCTGCCTTGTGTGCTGGAGCCGTCAGTTCAGTCTTCTGGTCCACCCATCTGATCCAAACAAGACGGCTGAGAACAAGGGCAATGCATGGATATTCTTTGTGCCCAGCTTCCTGCAGTGGCCTGTATGCTTCCAAAGGCAGAGCACGCTGGCAAAGCTGTACAGAATGGTCCACTCTGACAGTGGGAGGTTGGAGGAGCTGGGAAGCTTGAAGAAGCTCTCAAGGGAGCAGGAAAGAAGTCCCAAATGTGGGAGGGAATCTTGGCAGAAATGAAAGGGGGGTTGTTGAGCAAAGCATGCACTGGCTCCAGATGCACAGAGCTTGCAATATGTTACACTGGGAATCTGTGGGTGTGTTTGTAAGACCTGCCACTGACTTGCAAGCACAAAGGATGTAGCCTCCTCTTATCAGAAAAATGTGGGCTTCAGTCTTGCAGAAGAGGGAGAATGGATGCTTGCGTAACTTCACATTGCGTCTTCTTTCTGGTTGTGGCCTGACAGAATGGTCCCAAAGGTTGGCTTTGACTGGACCGACTTTGGTTTCTGGCAGACAAAAGCGGTGTCTTTAATTGTGGCAGGCTATAAACGAGTTAGTTCCCCTGCAGTTCCCACAACAAAGCTGCAATGAGAATCTGGATGACTTTCTACAGCACTGGAAAAATCCCTTGTTCCTCACATCTCTTGGGCATACTAGAATATTTCAAGCTAGTTTCACTTTGTCCTCATCCAGCTCCCTGGAATGAGAACCACAGAGCCACTTCATTTGAGCAAATATTTAGTCTTGATTACTATTGCAGGCTGAGCCCAAAAACAAACAGCAAACATGAGGTAAGCTGAGAGGCACCATTAGCCAAGCAAAAGCTCACATAGTAACCTCAGGAAAGGCAGCAAGCTGAAAATTGGGTGTTCTCGTTCTTTTGTAGGGAGAAGGAAAAAAGGGGGGGACTAAAATCCTGCTGGGAAAGGAAGAGGGAAGTAAATATCCAGTTAGATGCCTTTTGCTTAGAGATTTAGATGTGTAAGTGATGCTGAAAAGTATTAAAACAATGGGAAAAAATTTAAAGTGAAGTAGTTAAATACTTATCACCTTTTTTTTTATCATGTATTTTTTGAACTTAGTCCTGTTTTCCAAGTACTGCAGTTACCCTAGTACTGAATTCTTGGTTCTGTGAAAACATGGCCCAGCCTGAGACCTATGGAAGGAAAAGAGAAGAAAAGGTGGTATAAAACACTCCACAGCCCTGCCTTATCAGGATGAACGAAACAGCGTTTAGGCGGATTTGTAAACCTCTTTAAAGTATTTTTTCCTTGCCAATATCTGACCCAGGCCTGGCAAGTATGTTTGCTACCTGTCACAAGCATGACAAGTACAGGGTGTCAGAGGGGCTAAGGAGGGATGTTAGTCTCTTTTCAGCTTACCCTCTACTGAGTGAGAATGCCCCCAAGCCTTTCTAAACTCAGGAATCTGAGGCATTTCGTACCCCCTCTGAGAAAGGGAGAAGGAAAAGGTGGTATTTGATATGTTAATAAAGGATCCTTAGCACTTGTTGAACCAGGCAGCTGTGAAGCCATGGCAGACATTACATCCTACTCGCTGAATTATCACTGAAGGAGCTAAGCTGTAACAGACTATGTGAAAATGTTCGTTTTCTGTGGCAAAGAATTGCCATGTTTATTTCAGGCGGGTAACAGGATGTGTTCTGGTGGCATTCTGGACAAGTCTGGGTAGGCCCAAGGCAGAAAACTCAGATTCTGAATCCCAGTTTTGGGGCAAAGTTAATTTTGCTGGATGGCTTGTATTCCTATTGGCCTTTTTGTATAATGGTATTGGATGCCAGCTGTCTGTGAATTTAAAGCTGAATAGAAAAGTGTGAGCATCAGGAGAACACGGCTAGAGGAAACAAGGTTAGGAAGTGGATATACTGAACTAAAAATGCTTGTTGTTTAGCATTTAGATAGTAGAGGTGATTACATTAGAATTCCTTGGAGGTAAAGACCGCTGGGGCATTATTCTTAGTATGTCAGATCAGGAATGTGGTGTCTCTATCCATGCATAATGAATTTGGAATCTCATCTCAGGGTTTGGAGGAACTTGCAAGCTCCAAGCGGAGTTTTCCTTTGCCTAAAACAGAAGTGTTCATTTAGGTGTGTTTCTGAGGTTTCCATGACTTCAGTCAGAGCACATCTATTTGGTACCTACTTCCTCAGTAAAGACCCCTTCTACAAGATGGTGTCACTCCCATTTTATTGAAACAAGGGACTCTGGCACAAAATACTTACTATGCTACGTAACCAGTGGGTAGAGATTTATGCCTCCAAATGGTATCCCAAATGAGCAGAGATGCTGTATGTAAACACTTCATTTTTCAGCTGCAGATCTTGTCATTAGGGTATTAAGAAAGTAAAAATGGGTTCCTCTTTTACTGACACTGAAGTAAGAACCACAATGAGGGAGCAGGAGTTCAGCAGGTTGTTCACACGGGGCTGTGTGGGTGGAGGGTTAGGGAGAGGTGAAAAGTAGGATAACTGTTTTAAATGCTAGAGTATGCCAGGTAGGGCTCCTCCCCTCCTCCTCAGTCTTGGGGTGCAGGAATAGTTCCCTCTTACATTTTCTCCATCAGCCAAGTCAATTTGAAAGACTCCTATCACATTGCCTCCGTTTAATCCCTTCAGCCATGCTGATGCATCTCTCAGTGGGCCTATAAACTAGATCAGTGAACTGATCTTTTTCCTTAACCTTCTTTTTTAACTCTACTTCAGTGATCCAGTTTACAATATGGCTTTTGAAACATCTGAAACGGTACTGCTGGGGCAGTGATAAGCTATGAAACAATACTAGGAATTAATTGCTAGTGGGAGAATGGACAACATCTTAAACCAGCTTCACTGATGAAGAGGGCACGATGGAATCACACCCCCACATATGAAAATGAGCCAATTAAGCTGTTCCTTTTCCACAGCCATGCCAGAAGGGTTAGTTAAGATCATTCTGTAAGAAAATGGCTACTCTCCTTCCAGCATCTGCTACTGGCTGCTTCTGAGAAAAGTTACTGGGCCCCATTTCCCTTACTGTGATCCAGTGCAGCTCTTCTATTCTAGCTCCTGGCAGAATCTGGATGAACAGAGCTAGAACTTGGTCTTAAATGGTTAGTCACTAAATTTGTAAGATCTGCCTCCCCCTTGCTTTCACTCCTTCCACATCTTAAGTTCATGATTCTCCACCTTCTTCAGTCTCACAGTTAGTTTGGATTTGGCATTTGTTACGGGGCAGAAAAATAAAGAAACAGTACAAGGGGAAAAGGAAGTTATGTGCTAAGAGATGGTGCTTACATTGCAGACAGATTTCAGGTTGTTCAGAGGATATAGGTGTGAAGTACACCGACATATGTGGCTTTCTTCCACAGACCCACCTAAAAAGAGCCATTTCCTTTTATTACAGTAGGTGAAAGCCCCTCAAGTTGTAACCTGCATTTATAGCCCCTGTATGGGTGTATGTATTAAAACCAGTCCAGAGCTGCTTTTTTTGAGAATTTCTAATTATGAATCTGCACTGAAATGACTGATGTTTCAAGCTTTTGCAAAAATAGATCTTAGGCTTCTTAGCAATACCAGATTGTGACATTCTCCAGATCTGTACATGTGTGGTTTCTGTCTAAAGCCACTGTGGTTAGCATTTAGCAATGTGACTTCTTCAGTGAAGTAAACACCTTTTGTATCTGTCACTCCTCTTGTTTCACTCAAGCTTGTCAGTTAGAAATGCGTTTTGGAAGAGATTTCTTCTGCCCTGCAAAGCACTGGAAATAATTCACAAAATTAATTTAGCCATTTTACCCATTTTGTCAGATGTAGAAATCAAATGTCCTTGCATTTATTGTTGACTGCAGAAGTGCAGGCTTCTCCCTGGGGTTGCTGCTTGCCAACAAACTTAAACCCAATTGTCTTGGATTAGACCACTGTATGGGAGAACACTGTAGCTCAGCAAAGTGGGCATTTGCTTGGGGTGCAGTTAAGGCTGGCAAATTGAGGAGGCATATATGGATGCTCACTGCTCAGCAGATTTTTTTCCCCCAACTATATATACTACAGTACCATTAATTTACTCTCACCAAACTGGTAAATTTGTCTGCAGTTGAGATATGCTCTTCAGAATTCAATGATCAGGTTTATTCTTCCAAAGGATGCTGGCTTGCAAACACTGGTGGAAAACGTGAGTGAAGTTGATCAAAAGGATCCGAATAAACATCCTGTGAACCTTCAGAAAGTAACAGATGTATAAAATACAAGGTTTTTTTAGTCAGACTTTCTCTGAGGTGTGTCTCTTTTCCTGGGCAACTTCCTGCCACAAGAGCAACACAAAAACCTATTGCATTTATTTCATAGTAATCAAGCTATGGAAAACAGGTATTTCAAACCTGACTTGCCCCAGCTACTGCACATCTACAAATCTGACCATGAGGGAAACACACAGAGTTTTCAAAAGAGGAGGGATACACTTTCTGTTAAGGGAAAGGATGGTGTAAACCTGCAGCAACCTTTGACCTGAACTCAAGTTTTGATGCTTTATTGCTGAAGTCATCAAGAAAATTTTGATGTGTGTTTAAACAGGAATGGGACCAAGTTCCAAAATTAAAAAAAAAAAAAGAAAAATGGATGCCAAAGACAGGCCAGCCTGACCTTAAAGTTAAATCTTAGCATCAAGAAGAGCAGAGAACATACCACATAATCATAGAATGGTTTGGGTTGGAAAGGACCTTAAAGCTCACCTAGTTCCAATCCCCTGCCACAGGCAGAGGCACCTCCCACTAGAGCAGGTTGCTCCAAGCCCCATCCAACCTGGCCTTGAGCACTGCCAGGGATGGGGCAGCCACAGCTTCTCTGGGGCCTCAGCACCCTCACATGGAAGAATTTCTTCCTAACTCTAATCTACTACTCTCTTTCATCCTGAAGCCATTACTCCTTACATGTCCTTACTGTAAACTGCACTAAGGTCTCTCTGGAGCCTTCTCCAGGCTGAAGAAGCCCAGCTCTCACAGCCTGTTTCCATAGAAAGGTACTCTGGCCCTCTGAGCATCTTCATGGCCATATCTGGACCTCTTCTATAAGTATATATATAAAAGTATGAGAGTTGGAAAAGAATAATAATTAAAAAGGCCCAATATCATACCCTCTTCTAAAATGACTTCGTGGCAGCTTTTTATGTCTGCATTTCGTGCTTGCACTCTATCTGACTTCCCACATTACTACTGCTGTCAGTTCATTCTGCCTTGCTTTCCCAGCTAAGAAAGATCTGATGGTTTTCTTCTTTAAAAGCTTTATACTGACTTACCTTTCCTTCCACAGCCACTTGGCTGAAAAGGCAGCCTCTCCTGCTCTTAAAAAGCTTTTGATACATGTAGTTACCTCCACTATTATCATTCAGCTTAATTTTCGAGGGAGAATTTAAAACCCTGTTGTACAATCAGTAAATGTCCTTCCTATGTGTTGGTCACTTTTTTTCATGGATCAAAATGAGTCACTGCATACTGCAGATAGTTTCGCCATCTAAGGTATCTGGTTATGTAGGTGTCTCTGGTTGTCACAATTCCAGTTTCCTTTAATTTTCTGCCTTGATGTACTAGCAAAGACCAATCCAGTACGTTCCCCTCTCACTGCCAAATCAAATTCTCATTTTTATTTTGCACTTGTATTTACATTTATCACCTCTGCCTTTAACAATGACACCTCTGTATCCCTGATATTCAGCTGTACAAACCTTTCAGTGATTTTTCACACTGCCTTTTGTGTCTAGCATTGTTTCCAAACTGCTACAGTGAATCTTTCTAAGCCTGAAGAGTTCCACTTGGACAAGAGATGCTTACTCGAGACACTTATACCTCAACTTCTCTCTTTACTCAAGGCTCTTTCACTTCATTTGCCCTCTGCACTCATATCTGTAGTGCTGTCATCAGTAAACCTCACCTTGCGTTTTCCATCACTATGATCTACAACTTGCAAACTTGCTCTCCTTGCAGAAAGTAGGAAGACCTAAAGGGAGGGAGCCTTGTGTTTCAGCGTGCTTGTAAAGTGTGCAGTAAACCTCATGTGCATAGATGGACCTGACATATGGATTTATATATGCTGTGCTCTTTTCAGAAGGACTTTTGTCTTGCATCTTAGCTATGTATGTAAAATGCTTCCTCGTTTTACTTGTACAAAGTTCAGCCCTAAAGAGCGCTGTTGTAAAAGTGAACAGGCAGAATTACACCACTTCTGCTTTTCCACACCTCTACTGTTTTGGGATGCCTTTTGTAATCCAGTTGGAGCCTACTTTAACATACTGGCTGCTCAAACACCTCAGCAGGGGCTGCTTACACCAATGCTTCTGCTTGTCTCAGTCCTTTATGAAACAAAATTCCGACTTGGATCTCCCCCTTTTGCACTGTAAGACAACAGGGCTAAGCCCCCCTCATTTCCAATGATCTCTGGAAAGGCCTCCGGACGCCGGTGCCGCGGCCCCGCGCCCTACTACCGGAGGCTGACCCCGAGCTCCCTCCTCCCAGCCTTGGAGCAGCACCTCCGCAGTGCCAGCGAGGCAGCGCTTCCGGAGGGGCAGCGGCTGGCAACGGCCACCGGTACCGCCCGGCGCGGGGCATTGTGGGACCGGCCTGGCACTGCCTGGAGCGGGGCGCTGTGAGGACGCCTTGGCACGGTTCGACCCGGGGAGAAGGGGAACGAAAGGCAAAGTAGCGGGGGCTCGGCCCGCCCCGTGCCCGGCGGGCTGAAGCTGGGGCGCGCCTTCTCCGGGCGCGTCGGCTGCTACGGCCGCCGCTGCCGACCTTCGGCTCGCTCCGCTCCGCCCGCGCCCGGGCGTTGCTAACGGCGGAGAGCGCAAAGCACCACCCCGTTTCTCAACGGCTCGGTGCTTCCTCAAGGCTCGCCCCCGCCGTGCCGCCGCCTCTGATTGGTGGCGTCTGCTGTCAGTTCTCCGTCAGCCGGCGTCACTATTGGCTGGCGGTGCCGCGGGGGGTGGGCGGGTCGGCAGCGTTGCTGGGCCGCGGCGGCTGTTGGCGGCTGGGCGCCTTGCAGTGCCGGTGAAGTGAGAGGTGGTGGCGGTGCCTGCGGGAGAAGCCGGCAGCGTGAGGAAGACGCCACTCTCTCGCCGCGAGGAGCGCAGCCGCCACTGCTGCGGCATTTCCCTCCCTCCCACCCTCCGCCGTAGCAGGGCTCAGGTAAAGCAGGGCGATGGATACGGGTGGCCCCGGTTTGTTCCCCCTGGCGCCGCGCTTCTCTCCTCACGGGTTTCGCGCCTCTTTGTCCTGCCGGCCGAGAGGGCACCGCTCTCCTACTGCTCTCTTCCGTCTTCCCTGCGGAGCCGGGTGGTGGGCAGCCTGGCAGGGGAGCCGAGCTGCCGTGCTTGGGGTGCTCCCTGTCCTTTCCCATCTCGTTCGGGGGCGTATGTGCACGGTTGCATTATGCCCAGGGAGTTGCCTCTCTCCTCCCTCCACGCCCTGCTAACTGGCCTTCTCGCAGGTGGGGTGGCGTTATTCGCGCTCTTTTTCACCTCACAGTCTCCTTTCTTCTCCCTCCGGTGCATTGCCCTCCCCCCCCCCCCCCAATGTCCCCCCTCGCATTTAAGTGACCGTCCTTTGGAAGTAGCGGGTAGGGGAAAATAGGACCGTTTGGCAGCTGTCAGGGCTGCAGCCTGAGTCACAGGCTGACAATCCTCCTGCAGACATTGCAATGGGCTTGGCTTCCGCCCTCAGATCTCGACTTCCTCGTTCGGTTTGGTCTGTACAGTGAAGCCAGGAGAGAGGGAGGAGGGAGTGACAGGGCAAGATGAAGCTTGCAGTAAAAACTCTTCAGATAGCTTGTGCTTTCAGGCATCACCTCCAACTGAGTAGGGAAGGTTCTCTGGCTGTTAGTGGTATCGTTACCAACCTGCCTCCAGTAGGTGTGGGAAGTAATAAATTTCATAGCCCCCAAGGGTAGTGTGTACCCAGTGGGTTTCATAAGGATTGCTCCTAATTTGTCTAAATACAGGGTGAAATGAGTTTTATAGCAGTAACATGCTTCTGGTAATAAAGTGGAATTTCTCAGAAGTAAACTGCATTGGTTGGGAGGCTCTTCATGCAGTGTCTGTTAGATTCCATCTTTTTTTATTCTCCTTAAGGTTCATTTCCCTTCTTTTTTTTTTCTGTCTTGAAGCTTTGTGCTCTTCATCTATCTTTTTCCATAGCTTTTTCTTCTGTATCCTCTGTCATGATGTCCTGAGCAACACTCCATTAGAGTGGAGTAAGAACCTAAGCTTTTTTCTAAGTGAGCAGGTCTGTCCTAAAGAGAATATTCTCTCAAATACTGCATAAGAATTTTCTGCTTCAAACCTGAAGATATATTGTAGTAGATGGACTTTGGCCTGCAGACAATGATTTCTATGTCTCTGCCCTACACTATAAAGAAATACAAGTTAATTTACAGGGAGGCTGTTGAACCATGGCTCGAAAGCTTAAATTGCACATCCTTAACCGTCATCATATATGTCTCCAGTCTGTAAAGCTAGATACAGTAAAGTTTTAACTGCAAGGTAACAGCATTCTAATCAGTTACTGCTTGTGTAAAGACGCTTTTGAAATTAGTCACTAGGTAACAATGTGACTAAGTTCACTTATCCATGGCATTCCAGTAAAAATGGCAAATAGTGGTGCAGATATGTATTGACTCATAGATGCACTGTCTGCAACTATAGCTCTCTCTCCTAAGTTTAAATGAGATAAGCAAATATTTTTGTTAACTAGAAAGTTGTAATGAGGAGGAAGCAATTGATAAATGTAAGTGGAGTTGCCTTTAGCACAAAAGAGTTTTGAGGTTATTAATCACAATTGCCAAAACTGTATAAACACGAGATTGTGCTGCTAATCTGACCTTGTAAAAATAACTAGAGTGAAGTCATGCAATGGTTCCATGAAGCTCTATGTCAGGTGGAACTGTTTAAATTGACGTGTTTTCCTTCTTGATAGCTTTATTTGTTCACTTATTCATAATGTGTGCACTGTCTTTCTGGAGGTGGACAGGCAAAATTTTCAGTAACTCTAAGGTAGCTGCAAAATTGCTGGTAGCGGATAGAAACAGGGGTCTGAAATTTTTGTGCTTACTGACCTGGAACCTTAAAGTGAGTATGACCAGTTCCAAGCTGGTGACTTACATGGTTCTTTTCATAATATAACCTCAGGTCTTTGATGCCTAACTGTATAGCCAAGATTTTAGAAGTTCTCTGGAGAAGAGACTTTGACCTCAAAGTTTGCTCTGCTGGGTAGCATGTGGCCATTTCTGTATAAACAGGAAGACTGTATAGTTGGGTTCTCTGTCCCAGAAGAATGGGTGTCGAAACTGAAGGCATTTTACTGGACTTTGTTTGCATAGATTGTGAAGTTATTTATTCCATGATTCTGGGATTACTTTTTTTTTTTTTTTCCTCAAGTTATTCTTGTAAGAAAAAAGTTGAAGACAGAGACTTACGTTCTTGGTTTTGGTGTTTTGTTTTGTTTTTTTCTAATTATTGTTTCTTCTAGGTGGATTTTGATGTGTTTCAGAATGGTTTTAAGAAGACAAATGTGTTGAGAGCTCCATCATAATCTTTTAAGTCAATCAATAGTGAATAAGTAATAATTAAAACAAGAGGAATAAAATTACTTGTCCAGTAAAGTTACAGGAAAAGGATTAGAAGAGTTTCTCACTTAGGAGGTTGAAATAACCTTGTTGTGTGTTGTATAGCACATTATTTTGTTATTATGCAAAATGTTAAAGAGTGGTAGTGTGTGGTAGATCTAATACTCATCTTTGAGTTGAAAACTGCAGTGGAGTTAGATGCCACAGATGCATAAATCTCTCTGCAACAGTATTTGGCAGTGCAGATAGTCTCATCATTTGCAATAGCAATTACATTTACCAGTGCAACAAACTGTCTTCAAAACTTGAACCATTATTATCTTGGCAGGTCTTTAAAAATAATGTACTAAATGCTTATAGTAACTAATAATTCACGGGTTAGCTCTGTCAGACTGTTTACATGCAGGTACAAGGGAGTATATGTATTTCAGTGTGTCTATTAAGTATGTGAAAATATGCTTCAGTTATACTAGGGGATTAGCCTGTCTATACCCAAAAATTCAGCTTTTGTTCTGTTAATCTCTGGCATGCTGAACAGATAGGACAGGACATGTCACAGGTGTGATTTATGAGCTGATTTTGCTGAGTTTTCTGTTCCTACCCCTGCATCCGTAGGCCCATGTCTTGTCCAGATTTATGTCACTTTGGAATTGGTGTGACTTTAGTAGGACGAGATTGCATGTGGACCCACTGGAGTACAGGAACTCAACTGGTTAATGCAAGGTTTACTGAAAGGGGAAGTCAAAGTTAAGGTTTTCTTACCCCCACCTCTGCACAGTATATCTGCTTTCTTGTGTGGTAACTTCAGGCTATTGGGTAACATGCTGAACCTTACTGATGACTAAAGTGCATTTCAGAGGCTCAGTGTTAGCTACGCATCTACTAAAGTCCTGAGTGTATGATTTAATTCGTTTTGACTCAGTAATGCACTCGGTGCCCGTTAACAAAGATTTTTGTCTTTGATTTCTTGTATAAATATCTTATTAGTCTTTGTTTTCTTAGTTTATAATTGAGGCACAGCTGTCTGCATGTTAAGTAGAGAAATTGTGTGCCTTATGTTAAGTCTTCTGTGGGTTGAAACAAAACTATAATAGCATAGGATTGCCTACAGCGGCATTGTTTTTGCTGGCAATTGCTCTAGCTTAATGGTGGCTTGGTGACCTTGTACCTTAAATTTCTTTTCACTTTAAGCACACCATAGTTCTAATTGAGTTTCCTAGTTTAGAAAGAGATGGAAACTAGCACCCTGATTTGAATAGAGTATGATGAGACAAATACACAAATGCAACTTCTGCCCTGGAAGCTAATGCAAATGGGTGTTGTCCAACTAAATTAAATGCATCAATTTACAAGTTCATCTTAATTATGGTTTATCCGCTTCACTTCTTTCTTTAGCGGCTGTGAGAACTTGTTCTTTGTACTTGAAGTAATAATCTCAACACCGATTCATCTTGCAATCCCAGGCTACTGTAATGTTTAACGTCTTCGGACCTCACTCTAGTGCAGTCATGTTCAGTGTAATGGACCAGTCCCTCTTTTCAGCTAGTGGCTCTTTGGCCTGTTACTATTCAGTACAGTATGTTGCCTTTCTCAGCATCCTAAAAAGTGTAAAGAAATAGTAGTGCCTCCAATTTTCCAGTAATGGGAACTGTGATTGATTTCATTGTTTGATACCTCTGGAGCTAGGACTGCTAAGTCATGTCCTTTTGAAAGGACTGTAAAATTGATCTAGCACACTTGTCTACTGCAAATTATTTCTTATGGAGGTACTACAAATGCATTGCTGTTGGATGCAGAGAGGTATAATGAAATACATCTCTGCATACTGTGGTTTGACTCCATGACCTCTTTATGAAATTTATGCCTCTAGAGTTTTGTACATAGGGTTTGTATTCTACTTGTCTTCATGACCAGAAATTTAAATTTCTCCTAATGCATATACGCAACTCTGCTGAGAGTAGTAAATAAAACTGCGTGGATGAGTGATTTCAGTAAACTCAAGCTAATAATTAATGTATGTTGAGGGAAACTTAACTTGGAAATCTGTATCATAAAGTCTCTTCAACTGATGAATACTTCCATTCATCAAGAGCTACC